TTAGATCATAATTGTTCTTTATTTCATAAATTACGGTTTCATATTTTTAATTTTATAATTTCTGCATGCCATCTTACCAGATTTAAACTGATGATCTATAATTCGGAAAAATCGATAATCCGGAATCGCCGAAGTCCCGACGAGTCCGGATTAACGACTTTTGACTGTAGTAGAAGCCTTAGAATTACGGCTATGATTTCCTGGGTGTAGTTTGAGATAAAAATATGTTTTGATGTGTGTAAATGCATACATGGGGGATGCACATGTACTAAAGACATTGTAATTTGTTGTATATTGTCGTAATATATATATATTTATTGCAATAGTTATGTATTATATATAAGGTTTTTCAGATACATCTCGACACCTTAAAGGAAAATTGTGAATAACTGGTTGACATTTAAGGATTTTATCATTTATTTTTTACAGAAAATAATTATTCCTGTATTAGTAACACCATTATGAAAATTTGGCTTACTTGAAAAACATCATAGGTCATATAAATGCAATGAAAAACACAAAAGCCAGATGTCCACTTCTCCCTTAACTGCGGGAGATCTCAACAGGTATCTACGGGGCGGCAGGTGCAACTCAAGAACAGTGGCTTTTTTTTAAGAAATAAGGACAATGCACTATGGCAAAGAAAGATTGACGGACTAAACACATATTAACAATGCAACAATATATATCCCCCCTTTTAACTATGTACATTTGTAGCATGTAAATTGGGGATGATTCCCATTTTGTACACACGCCTCATGGAACCTCATACTACACTCTCCAACACATTTCAACCACTTCTGTCCGGCAGTATCATCAAAATAGTACCCACCGCACTCGCCACAGTAATTTTCACTGTCTTCGAGATCCTCGAGGTACTGGGTTGAGTTCCTCCCTGACGTCTAGGTTCCTGTGTTTGTGTTTTACTGCACAGTTGACTCCTGTATTCTGCGGATGTTATAATGGCTGATTCTTGTTTTTTTTTCCTCCTATTCCCTACAGAGTGGTTCTGTACTACTGGTACAGGGGATAATTCCAAAAATGATGTAGAAGCTGATGCTGTAGATGGTGATGATGACCTCTGGAGGTTATCGTCTTCCTCTACCATAACTAGAATGGTGCCATTTGTAGTAGACATGAGTTCATATTCAAACACATTGTCTTCCAAAATATCGGGATTGTATGGGTATATTCCACATTTTCGAAAGCCATTGGCAAAATTGCCTGACTCGACTGTCGAGATCTCCCCGAGTTACACATTTCTATGAAAGATGGCACCCCCCCCCCTCTGACTGGCTATGAAAACTTTTTGTGTAGACATCCATGTTCCTGAATGCGTGATCTCACTAGCCAGTCATTTGGAAATCGCCAAAAATCGAAGCCATCGTCCCCATTTATCGTCGTTATCAAAGCCAATCTTATACTTTATGCATTGCAAACTATGAAGAACTTACCGGACAGATTATTAATATTTATTTTCTTGATCAATCTCTGACTTTACAATACTTTCGATTCACAATGATGCACTACACTCTTAGGTTATTCCAATACAGTGGTTTCCATATACGACACCAGGGTGCAGACCACTCTACTAAGGGACTTCCTTAAGTGTCGAGATGTCTCTGAACGACTATATATATAGTTCTCAGTTATATATTGCATCCAAATGTCATAAAATATATTTCCTTGAAAATCCCTAATCCAATTTTTGGATATCCGTGTATAGCTCCAATACTTGAGTTTTTCATTCATTCCTCATTTCTATGAACTATAAACTTTTATGTGTACATTTGGCTGCCGTATGTCTGAATTAATGGACTTCGCGAATTAATATAAGGCTTATTCAATCTCTCATCTTGATGTAAATTTAAGCCATTATTGCATATTCAGTTACAGTAACTAAACCTGTTCTAAAATTTAAACTGACAACATAACTAAAAGAGAACTATTTTATCAAAGATTAAAATTGGTATTGTCATAAATTACCTTTCATGAATTATTCAAATATATTCAGATGGAAAGGTACCAAATTGCAATTTTGCTACATTTAGTGATATGGAAACTCGGAATGTTGTAGTACGTTATCGATTATATGTAAGAAATATAGATATTAGCCATGCAGCTGGTGCCATTGCCGTCGTAGTGTAAAAGACGCGAAAGCAGAGAAGGCAGATGTGGCGTTTAAATCCGTAAAGCTGAAAGGTTTGGGGGAGGGATTAAATTAATGAGTTTGTGAAATCGGAAAAGCAGTAGTAATAATGTGTTTGTATGCTGCAGATAAATTGTGAGAATACAGAAAGGCTTACCGCTGCTTAAAAAGAAAACTGTATTTCGTGCAGGACTGTTAAAAAGCCACCCAAGCATGAAGAGGAAGAAGAAATTTTTGTAAGATGATGTATGCCTCGGGCATAACATGCTGGAAATTATTGAGAACCATACTTCTACTTCATTTTCTCTCTATCACCATGGGAAGGAGGGTGAATGAAAAAGAATAAGATTTTGAAGACTGAAGTGAGCAACATTTAAATGCGTATGCAAAGAATAGCAGTTACAGAAGCGGAGAAATTTTAACCGCTGGTCATTCTTGCGCAAGAGTCCACTTGCTGAATTCAGGCAGTAAGAGTTGATAAGAATAAATCAAAAGTTTTGAAATCATGTAAATGCTGGAGGAAGGAGTACGTGAAGGTGGTCTTAAAAAAAGATTTCCCTGGTATATTAGCCCTTATCGGCCTATCCGTACAACCAATCAAAATTAAATTTCAAGTATAGGTATTTGAAGATATGCGCTCATGATTGTGATGATTTAAAGAAACAGAGCTCTCACGGTTACGGTTACAGTGAAATCATTTCGAAATTTTCGTTTGGCAACTCCCACTTTTTTTCCTTCGTAAATTGATCAGCGCATTGAAAAACCATAAATGGCGTTGGTATGATACACATGACGAAAATTGCTGGCGTAAAACGTTTGCAAAGAAGCGCATTGTAAAGGACTAATGATAACACGAGGAAGAGAGGGAAGAAACCTTTATTGGTATTACAAGTTTTCAACATGCCCACCTTTGCAGACATAACGTATTGCACACGGGATATTGTTGACAACAGTGTCGCAAGAATAAAATATATGAACTTCACTTTTATGCCAGTTTTCAGTACTGACATTCAATGCCGATTAAATTGGTGCACGCGCCTTTGATTTCAGATAACAGCAGAACCAGAAATCCATCAGAGGGGGTTCGGGGGATAGCGGTGCCTACAAAACTTGCAAAGTTACAGAAGATGAATATGTCCAAAGTATTGTTGCAGCACTTGCCGAATACATGTGGCGAAGTTTGGAGGAGCACCATTTTGCATTCATGCAGTGTCATTAACAGCATTTCGCCGCTGGAATTCTGGAATCGCGTAGTTCTACAACATTGTTTATGCCGAGCACTCGTGAAGGAGCACGTTTGCACCCTGTGGAAGTGGATTGTTCGATGAAGTACGGACCGAGAACGAATGTGCTTGCGATCCTGTGCACAACACATAGCTTCGTGTAAAGGCACTGAGGGAAGGGGAGGTTTCGTGTAAAGGGGAGGATTTTCATCAGCCCAGTGAACGTAGTTTTGGAATTAACGTTCTCAGTTAAGGAGAAAATGCGCCTTATTCAGCGGTCTATCACATGTGTATCCAGTTTCTTCAAATTTTTTTTACCAAATCATATGCAGGTTTTACGGAACATGGGCCTTATGATTTCGCTGGTAAAATCGCAGTGCCTTGGGCAGCATTTTCCCCTTTCAGATAATACAGCTTTATCAATCTACCTCGTTGTTTCCCCGTATGTGTTATTTTGTTAGTACGCTCGAGTACTTGACTGAAGGAAAAAAAATCTTCTCGCATTGCTTATTAAAGGTTTCCCACGAGCAATGCTTTGCACATTATGTTTTGTAATTGATGCTTCAACTGTGTATTCCTGTGAATTATTCAAAGTGCGTCATTCCCCCCTTTCTGTATTGTCTTTACTACTTCACAGTGCTTTTCTTTGCATATGTTTTACGCCGACAATTTTCGTCATACGTGTATCGTTTCAACGGCGTTTATTGTTTTTTAATGTGCTGAAAAAAAAAGTGGGTTTCGACGTTCGAAAACTTCGAAATGTTTTCTCTTTAAACATAAGGTTCAGAGCTGTCTTGTTTAAAAGCATCGGAATCCCAAGCGCATACCTTCAGATAACAATATCTGGAATTTCATTTCTAGTGGTTGAGCGGATACGTCGCTAGGGGTTCATATATCGAAGAAGTTGCTTTATACCCCCCCGTATGTGATTAAGCACGGTACCTTGATAACAGTGAGGATTTTAATTTAGTGGCATCGGGTATTGTTTCGAAATGACTTAATGTGGAAAAAAAATTCAATAAGCAAATCGCATAATAGTGGCAAAATGAGTAAGAAAAACAGCATATCAGTTTGAATTCAAAATTAGTTTTTAAGAAATTTTGCATTTATGTTATCATTTAACTCAAAGGCTATTTTGTTAGAAAGGCTTTCTTAAAGGATTTTTCAAAGAAAACTAACTTTTACAATACACAGTATAAAAAAAGGTGCAGATATGCCATGCCATTTAAGGTTTTGGGAAATGTAGCCAGTATTCCGTTGGAAAGCATAGTACCAACCTCAGATCTGCAGTAAACTATTTAATCTAGAAAAATGTTGTTTAGATATGACTCTGTTGATTAACAAGGGTTTTAATACTTCTCTTTTATTTTTTGCTGTTATATGTATCCTGTAGATAAGCTTCAATTCAGTATGGTTTAAATGAATAAAAGAAAACTTGTCACAAAAATAGTAGCAAAAAAAAAAAAAACAGTTTTTCTTCTAGGTTAATGACCAGTAAGAAAGGCTTTTACTGTTTAAAAATCTAATTTATTTTGCTTATGCAATTACTATAGGTATGCGTCTGTGTAAAATTGCTACATTTTCTAAATATAGATTGTGTTCATCGTGGTATAAAGAGAAAAACCTTCAAAACTTCACAACAGTTTTATTATTAGTTACCATACAGAATACGGAGCATTCCTGTACAGTCATCGAAAAAAATTAGCAATACTGTTTAGGTTACACGTAGAGTAGTTGTGCTCATTATATCGCCATAGAATAATTGTGCTAACCAGAAACAATTTGACTCGAAGCATATTATTTCCTCTGCTTCACAAGACATACAAGTGTCGAAATGGAATAATGTGAGAAACACAAAATCTCAACACATTTTACACTCACTTCTAAACATTTCACGAGAGTGTTGAGTAAAAAATGTCAAAGTGGAATATGATACGGTTTCATGACTGAAAAATGAACAAATCGTTTCGCCTCTGTACCTGCGATATGAAGTTATGAGGAGGAACTACATTTACGTTCCCAGTCTCATCTAATTACTTTCAACGAATATAGGCATCAGTCTTGGAGAGGCTCCTCCCACTTTAGTTTTCATTCACTCACTTATGATATGTGAGGGGATTTGCCTTTCATTGATATGCCTTGACTGGATGGAAAATTAACTTGAAAAGAATATTTGATATGTGGCCTCATAAACGGTATGTTCCCTTGACTCTGCCTTGAAAGACGCAATCGAGGGAAGTTTATTTTATTTGTGAAACTAATAAGGCGCGTGGGGAAAATATATATCAAATATCTCTTCCTCAACTCAGAGAAACAGCTTGTGAGAACAAAGAATTGCATAGAAATTCAGCTGTTCTTTCCCAATACAATAACACTCATATATATTATTTTACAATACGTGTAAATAATTCCTTAGTCGCAATAACAAACATCGCTGACAAAACTGAGCATCCAATTTTTGTCTCGCCGCCGCAGTCAAATACAAGAAAATCAACAACACGCAATACAACAAACAACTGTAAAGAAAAGCCACGTCGATTTCAAAGCACTGTGTATTGCTTTTGTAAAACCACACTAGTAAAATTTGAAACGCAGGAAGAACTTTCTCCGTCAGTCAACAAAACAAACTAGAATCATGAGCCCTGAAAATGTTATTGACACTCATAAGCTCGTTGATTATTGAGTCATCAATCCAGGAAATTGTGAAAGAAGTGCTCGAGATTGAAAAGATTGTCCAGTGTACACTTATAGAATAATGGTGACTATAATCTACGAAGCATTAAACACAGGTGCTGTCAAGATCGGAAAGCAACGATTGGGCGCCAAAAACTCTTCTTGCCTAATTGAGCTCTATTAAGGGACCGTTGCATGTTACCTCTTACTTGAGGCTTTTTCATTGGAGAAATAATATAGGAGAGAAATTTCTGCGAAGAAAGTAATTTCGAGAAGACCGCTTAGAGGCTACTTCTACCGGCTGAGATTCGAGTTTCAGAAAATGAGTACGAAAAGATGAGTTGGTCCCGTTTCTGTACTTGCGTACAATTTCTTGGTAAAAAATACCCTTTTCGGAACCAGTGCTTCACAGAGCTGATGGCACCCGCCCGTTTTCTGGCTGTTTTACCAAAAACTTTCGGAATCTAGGTGCATTAAAGAGAAATTCTCAATAAATAGACACTAGAGAGAAAACGTTTCGGTGATATGTTTCGTCTTTTTGGCATTTCAGGTCGCTGGAATTTAGTTTTTTTATACTTTGGAAGACTATTTTGATCAAAATGAAAAAACGAATTTTAAAAGTGAATGAGCTGCAAACTGCTCTTCAGTCGTTAGAATTTCATTTTTAATGGAAGATCTCTTTCACTTCCTGTCACATATACCCGCAGTTATTCTTTCTCTCATTTTCTCTTTGGCACATATGAGAAATGGGCAGGATTTGTATTTATTTTGTCACTGCTGATGATCTGAAAACTAGCGTTAAAACCCCAAAAGAAAATAACATACGTTAATATTGCAATTTGCGATCTACAGAGGAAGTTGGTGCTAAAGTAGATACAGCATGCAGCCCATCTGAATCATTATAACATACGTAGATCAAAAAACGAGTGCTATCATTTTTGGCGATTTTTTTTCTTTTTCTTTTCTTTTCTTTTTTCTTTTTCTTTTTTTTTTTTTTTTTTTTTGATAAATTTTTAAAAGGTTGGCGGCACAAATCATTTCCATTCATCCGATTGGAATTTGATAACAGGATTGGTTATCGATGCAGTACGACAACACTACGGAACTTTGAGGCCTAATGCCCGGCTGATGCACTTGTATAATATACAATAACAACTACATCTAGAAATAGTGCATATACAATGTCTCAAAAAATGTGATATGTAATGGAGAACTCCGGTTCTCCTTCCACCTGTCTTGTTTTTTGTACTTGGATCTTTTTCTTTCCTTCATCAGCATGGGCGTAAGCAACTCTTTCCTTCATGTTACGGCTATTATGATATGGGACCTGTTTCTTAGTCGAAAGCTGCATTTCGGGCGTCAACTAACGGTACAGTTTAGTGCGAATGTTTGGCATTACAGCAATGGTGGAAAATGCTTTGCCACGAAATAACTCTTGACGGGAAAAAAATCATATATACAAAACACGTCACATAATAATCACACAAAAGAATCACGGAAGTATCTTTTCAGAGATTATCCGTTACAAAATTAAAAAATTAGCAAAAGATATTTTTCCGTTGAATAACACAAAATCTACGCATTAAACTATTTATGTCAAACATACCTTTAACGTACTGACATTTATAATCGCAAATTTCTAATTTTAATAATGGTGGGGCATAGTATTTTTTAAAAGTAGAATATTTCAGCTGCGCGAAAGCGCTTTGTCCAAAGATATACCTCATTAATGTCAAAGGGAGAGTGTTGCTTTGGCACGTTCGCATTGAAGATTCAAAAGAGGACGAAAACAAAGAGCCTTATATAATCTCATTTCAATTCAATAACGAGGTTTAGGTTATGTTGCTGAAAATGGGATCGAGTTGCCTACACTGACTTCCACCCTCGGCAGCAGGCACTTAGTTCCTAGCAACTTTGTAAAACTCTGTTTAACAGATACAATTTTTTTTTTTAGCTTTTTACAATTTTACCCTGAAAACAGGCTTGATATGTTTCCGTTAGGCTTAAATAGCTTTTGGTTCTTTGTATGTATGTATATATATATAAGTATATATATGTATGTATGTATATATAAGCATAAATAGTAAATAAAAGTTTCGATTGTCCAAGGTCCGTTAGTCGATACAGAAAGGATTTCCTGTCAGGAGCCTAGGGATGAATTCTTATTGCCAGATACAGGTAGCGGGATTGACGTCAGGAGTTTCGAGTAATCAGGTGCTGGACTCTTTACCAAGGAGGGAGAATAGGAGGTCTTCCAGGAGTCGAGGAAACACTAATCTAAAAGAGAAGCTGCAAAGAAGAGGCAAAGTAAGAAAAGGCTTGAAGAGGTGAATAGAAAAGAATGGATTGGAGACAGAAAAGCCACTCACCAGAAACTGACAAGACTAAGGTGCAATAAATGGAGAAAGAGAGCGGATTACTTGAGTGGGGCAGTTGGCACGTTCTTCCACAGCAGTGGTAACTGAGCACTGTGAATACTGGAATAAAGCAAAAATTACTTCCTGTAATTGCGTTCATATTATACTAACAGTTTTCATTTCGAGATAATAATAGTTTTCAGTCAAGAAGAAAGAAATGAGGGTAATATAAGACTGGACTATTGCTGTGATTATGCGTTTGTACAAGAAAAGGGAATACAAGATTTTAGTACCTCACTTTTAAAATCTGAACTTTTCAACGACGGGCAAGATGACAGTCCAAAGCTCTCAAATGAACGCGTTTGCATTTACATTGAAAGTCTTGCAACTATATGATGCTTCGTCTGTATCTACATGGATGGAGTTATACTTGCTATGAATAGATAAGTACTAAACAGTTTCAACATTCCATGAATAATTGTTTTGCGCATATTACTACAGAGTTGACTTAGAAACTATAACTTTCTTTCCTATGCTTTTATTTACTTTCATGTATTTTCCGACACATTGTTTTTCTGTTTGGCTATAATTTTATTCATGTTGCTCCATCTGTAGACTGAAAATGTATTGTGCTGAGAATATCTGTTTTCTACGCATTTAAATGTGTCTTGGAAAGTTTATCTAGGCATGATCTCATAAATTGTTTCTTACGAATTTGAAAATCTTAATTTTATGTGAAGTAACGTGGGGTTATTTCGAAGGCAGATAATTGGAACAGAAGTGAAGGTTTGACTTGACACGATTTGAAAATTTCTACCAATTAAGTTTTTCATGATGAATGGAAACATACGTGACCTTATTTAAATATTTATATTGAAAAGAGGGAAAGATCAGTTTTAGAGGAAAGCAAAACAATTTTATAAGAATAATCTTACTTTTTTTAACTTAGGTAATGAAATGAGAAAGCTCATATATACTGGAACTGGAATTACTTCCTTCTGAAGTAAAATCTGAAGATCGTAGAAATCGTATATTTCTAGTCTTCTAATATCTTGCACTATCTTATATATAACTTTTTACATTCTCAATATCTGAGAAGAAAATAGTCCACATTAACTAATTCTTTGCTAACTACTTATTATTGCATTCTTCTCGAACGATTAAGTACTATGACCTGTTTACTTAGGCAAGCTTAGATTTAGTAAAATCTTTTAATATTAAGATAGTCATAATATGGATGACAAAAATCACGTTTCTGTAAAAATGCATCATGTCACGTTATTTTCCTTTCAAATTTCATATTAAATTACTGCTCAGAGGATCTGATTATTATATCAATATGTTACTTAAACGAGAGGATTTTGTTGGTTTTCTCTTATGTCTATTCCCTCTCTTGTGAAGCTTTCTCGGATAATTGAGGACTCTTGGTTGGGACGATCGTGTGTAACTGTGTGCGTGGGGTGTGGTTCTTGACTGGTTTTTTCATTTAGGATCTGAAGCACGTGTTTGCAGTATCCTGGGTGGTAAAGTTTTCATTTATACTAATCAAGTGCTTTAACTGTGTCTTTGTTCTTTCGGCTATCAACGTAGCACACCTTTTCGTTCCAATTCATGTATATCCCAAAATTGTTTTAGAAACAATACCGTTTCTTATTTATTCGAGTTTTGAGTTTTTTGCAATGTTGGCTCACGGTGCCGATGTATACCAGCGACCTGACTTCCTACGATAACGAAATCAAGGATATACTGGCTGCATAACGAGGTTACTCGTGGATTGTTCCACTCTCCACAAACCTTTCAGATAGTTTCTTGCTGGGCGGTTTTATGGATGTGCTTGCTCCGCGATGGATTTGCATTTGAATCGAATCATTAATTAATTTTTTTAAATTAGTGTGTTTCTTTCTTTTTAATGCAGGCAGCCATGATTCAAGTGAGTATGGCCCTCTTTTCTCTGCCCAAATTATCACTTTATCTAATGAGAGTGCGTTTTGTTATCACATATATTAGAATGTAAATAAAAGTTTCGTTTCTTTTCTTTCTGTTAAAGGGGTTCCAGTCGTCAAATGTGCGTCAAGGCATGAAATGTGGTAGCCTGTATATATAATGCGTCAGGAACAGTTGTGTAATTATAATATAAAGAACACAGGCAAAGAGAAAAATTTCGCGGCGCTTTATAAGCATTTCACTGCAATACCAATAGTTTATGACACAAGGGCGCATTTGGGATATTTTTTTGTAGTGTAGATATCGTATGCTCGGGTGTCCTACCATGGTGTATCAACAACTTGGAATTGCTAGATATCATCTTCCTTTTGGCATCTTTATGTTGTGAGTGACGTCAGCCGGTCCCGTCCCTCGTTACTAGCCGAATGAGGTGTTTTGGGTTTTTACTCGAATTTCGTCCCCTCAGAGGGTAGCTCTCTATCCACTGTGGTTTCACTTGTACGCATGGTGTGGCGTTTTGGGGTTTATTACTGCTGCTGTCCCCTTCGTTTATCCTTACTCATGCGTGGCAACGGCTGGTCTTTGTGTGTGTTTTCCCTTTCGAGTTTTCCTTTGATCCGAGGATACTTTTCTGAGATTCTGAACCCGTTCCAAAACCAGAACTCATTGGACACCGTTTACCGTGGGCGGATTTCGTTTGGGGTGTTATTCTGGGTTAGAACTGACTTGGGTTCATTGGTTTTGTCTCTGGCCTTCTGGGTGCGGTACTTTTGGTTTCTCCATGGCGGCCCATTTGTTTTATGGATGTTTCTTCCTCAGTTGCAACTCGTACAATGCTTCTCGTGGTATCCCCTTTACTGGCCAGTTCCCTTTTTAACCATTACCGTCCTCTTGGCCGACGGCTTCAGTCCTCACTCCTTTTCATGTTACCTCTTCGGAGAGCATTGCTTTTTTTGTTACTTCCCTGAAACAGATCGATATTGTACTCGCATGCGGCTTGTAACGGGTTTTTGTGTTGGGTTTACGTTTTCTCATTCCGCTGGCTATTGTTTTTTTGTAATAGGTTTTTTTTTTGGTTGTCATATTTTGCTGTTTTTTCGATGCAAACATTGCACTTTTTTTTGAGCTCCTACCTTGTTTAATAAATAAGCTTACAGATAAGTGAAAATTTGTTTTTGCTTCTACTCTTTCCTGTGCCTGATTTTGCATTATCCTTAATTTATGATATGAAGTGTAATTTTATAGTTGAGAATTAAGTGAATTTAATGTATGACATCTAAGTTGCTTTATCGAAGAATTTGAGTTTGTCTGTTAAGATAAGTTTCAAAGTTCATGGTTTAACCCGAGATCTTTATAAAGTGTGACATTCTGACATAGCCATTAGTGATATGCCGATCGAAACGATTTTGTATTTTCCTGTAATTTCGGGATTATTTTTTTTGTATGCAGACGTCCATGCGGGTGAAGCAATAAAACTAAACCTGGTTCTGGTAAGGACGTGTAACGTGGTAGCAATGACGGAAGTATCAGACGAACTTTTTGTCTTCCACAGTAGCCATACTTGGCAACTGTTGTTCCTTCAGCAATGGGAAATGTACGCTTAGTATTGATAGAGAGCATGCATTGGGATGGCTTGTTGATGTTTTTTAGCTTTCTATATCTTGTTAATACGGTGGCATCAATTCCATTGTTAACCATTTATACGAATTAAACAGTGTTTATATGACCAAATCGTATACTATCTTTTTATGAAGTAGACTGTCATGTAAACCTCGTCTACCGTAGAGTTGCCCCAAGATCCTCAGCATGCATAGGCGTTGTAACTGTATTGCGCTCAATCACCGTTTAAATAGGTTTTTTTTTTGGTAGCTCAAGTGCTTTTACCTTGGTTAATAAATAAGCTTTACAAATAAGTGAAATTTGTTTTGCTTCTAACTCTTCCTTTGCCTGATTTTGCATTATCCTTAATTTATGGATATGAGTGTATTTTATAGTTGAAGAGATTAAGTGAATTTAAGTATTGACATCTAAGTGCTTTATCGAAGAATTTTGAGTTTGTCTTGTTAAGATAAGTTTCAATGGTGTTAACACCGAGATCTTTATAAAGTGTGACATTTCTGACATAGCATTAGTGATAATGCGATCGAAACGATTTTGTATTTTCTGTAATTTCAGGGGATTATTTTTTGTAGCAGACGTCCATGCAGGTGAAGCATAAAACTAAACCTGGTCTGGTAATGGACGTGTAAAACAAGACGTTTTTTCTTAAGATCCATACTTGAATGTTTTCCAACAATGGGAAATAGAGTATTGATAACCTTATTTACTTTATTTCTAATCTTGTTAATATGATCATTCCATTTTAATTTAGAATTAAAAGTTATACCAAAATACTTCTTTTTATGAAGTACTTATGTATCGTTAGGGTTGCCACCGTCTAGTTAAATTTCGCTCCAACGTTTATGTTTGTAGCTAAGTGGTGCCTCGTTAACAGAAAATTTTAAAGACGAAATTTCTTTTTTTGACCTTTATGTAGATATTTTTATGACACTAGCTCTATTTTAAATCTTCTTATAGGACAACATGCATCAAACAATATTCTGCATACATGCTCCAACGTTCTTTGGGTGCCATTAGATTAAATGTGTTATTTTTATCTTTTATTATAGTGTTCTTATTATCAAAGTAAGTATTGCCAATATTTTTTTATAGTGTGCCATTATATTTAGTTCACCTTTTTATTGAATTGGCTAACCTATGAGATACATTCCTTATGCTTACAAAGATGCTATTCCCAGTTATAATAAACTGATGACGAAAGTGTATTTTCTCTCTGAGAATGTGGAGTTGGCGCATATATTTTTCTGGGAAAAAAAAAATAGCGCGTATTTTACTATAATAAAAAAATCTCTTTTTTTAATTGGAAGAACGAATGAAAATAAAATTTTTCCTGATTATTGTAGCAATCTCCGTAATCTTCATTTCTTTTGCCATATATTTTTCACAATTAATATTTTAGAGGGATTAAAGAATTTTGGACCTCATTGTATACTGCACATACTTTGTTTCATGATAAAATATTAATGATATATTTTTATAAATAAAATAATCGACGAATCTTCCTTACCTTGTATTAATCTTCATTTAAAATGAATATAATATCGTTTCCAAGTTAG